CCTAACTGTGTAATGTTTAATGTTTGAAACAAATAAATGTGCTAGACATCAATGGTCATATGGCATGGTGGTAAAATATTGTGTTGGAAAGGGTAAAGAGTTAAAGATTACGATAAAATGTGTTAGATGTCAAAGATTAGAGAGCATTATAGGATAGTATGGTAGTGAAAAGGGAAAAGAAGGGAGTTAGTGAACTAGAGCAAAGATTAGTAGAAAGAGTGAATTACTGTGTATCTGTCACAGGGGAAAGTATAGGAACAATGTTCAAGGAAAACAGAGATGGCTATTGGAAAAGTAGAATAATAATCCAGGGAGAGGGGGGTGGGGTTATATGTCAAAGATTAGAGGGTGCTATAGGAAAGTATGGTAACAAAAAGGGAAAAGAAGGAAGTAAATGAAGTAAAGCTGTGTTTCATAAAATGGGAAAGGTTAAGGGTGTAAAGCAGTTGATTGAATTACACTGTATCTGTGACTGGGAAAGGAATAGGGACAATGTTCAAGGAAAATAGAAGTGGCTGTTGGAGAAGTAAGAGGAGAAGAATCCGGGGGATGAGGAAGGAGAACTGGGGATGGTGATGAAGTATCAGGAAGAATATCTGGCAGGGAGGGGTCTGGAGAAGGACATTGTTGTGATAGAGGGGATTTGTGTGAGTATTCAAGTGGGAGAGGTAAAGAGGGTGGGGCATGTTGAGAAGGTGCAGGAGGTAGAGGGATGGAGAGAACTTGAGGAGGAGGATGGTTATCTGTAACTACTTTAAACGTAGGAGGAGTAGGAACAGAGGGATTAGGGGATGGATGAGGATGCGGAGTGTTCCCCTCACTCATCTTTAAGAAATTTTGGATGTTTTCAAGGGTTTCTGGAGAAGAGTTGGGTGAAGAGGACTAAGAAACAAAGGTTCCATTATAAGAAGAGGAGGTAGATATCTGAGGAGCAGAAGAAGAGGAAGGTGTAGGAGAGGGTAGAGTAGAACGTTTAGGTTGCCTGGTGCGACAAATAAAGAGAGGAGTAGTAGGTATTGGGGAAATGATAGAGATTGGAGTATCTGGATTTAGACTGGAATAAAATTTTAACTAGGGGATAGGGTGAATAAGTGGATGGTTTATGGTATATGGAAGAGATACTGGGGGAGATGCAGAAATATCTTGCGAGGATGGTGGGGGAGCAGAGCGAAGGACTGTTTTGGCGTAAGTTGAGTGAGAAAAACCTTGTTGTCGTGCTCCTTGTCTGGCCTCACGTAGAGTGAGGCCTAATTTGAATCTGAGGACTGCTGCCTCACATTTGAGCTTATAGACAGGGCAACTCCTATAAAATACATTATGGGAGTCTCCACAATTGGCACATGTACATGACTGAGCAGGGCAATCTGAATGATTGTGATCAGGTTGGGCACATAGAGGGCAGCTGGCTGTGGAGTGGCAGTATTCAGCTGGGTGGCCAAAAAGCCGATATTTCTGACACTGATGAGGAAGGGGTCAATATGGTCGGCCATGGTAGGACAATCCACCAAACTTCATGGGGGAGGTCGTGTCTATGGAAGCTAATCTTGGCAATATTGATATGGGACTTATGCTGGCCTCTGGGAGGAATAGTGTGACATTATACTGCCATTGCATAATAATCAGCAAGGCAGGTAAGTGGGTCATTTTTACAGTCTAACTAGCCCTTGTTGTAGATAGAACAAGCATTTGGGGGGATAGAAATAGTTCCAGTACAAGTATTAAGAGAGTGGTGAGGTTCGGCTGGAATGGGTTTGCCAGTGAGGTCAGTTTGGGTTGATAGTGCACGAGCTTAGGATTCAGATGTAACTATGACATAAGGGAAGAGGGGGTAGACATTGAAGAAGACTGTGCAGAAGGAGATGGAGCAGAGAATGTTGGGTAAGAGGAAGGGGTGCTTTCTGGAGGTTGAGTAATGGGTGGCTGTTTTGGAATGTATGGAGTCGTCAGTAAGTGTCGGTTGGAACTGTGGTCAAAGGCAGGGGTCGGAAAACCATCAAATTAAGATTTAGATATGCTAGTTGATGAAGGGGCAAGCATTAATACCCTATTAAGGGTAAAGAATCTTCTTTACTGGCCATGGTGAGCCTGAATAAAACAGGGAAAAGAAACTGTCTACCCCTCAGGACAGGGGCTAGGCAATTAACCAAGGGAATACCATACTCATGGCTTCTGGATGCTATTCATGACTGACACAAGGCCATCCTTTCATCTTTTCAGCATGGCTCTCACACCTTAGGAAGGGGATAGAAGGGGAAGAAGAAGATACAGAAGAGGAAAGGGGAGAAGAAAAGGCCAAGCACAGTTAGTTGAGGCAAGGGCTACGGCCCAAGATCAGGCCCTAATCTCCGTCTCCTAAGCCCTCCTATGACAACAATGAGCAAGGTATTGGGAGGATATTAACCGTGTAATATTAATATTATAGTCATCATATAGTTTAGATTCATTGCAATATTTATTCACTTTATTTAATCATTATACTGGATTATCATCATAGGATCTATTAAATTGTCATCATTTGTAATAGTTAAGCCACTGAGGTAATTTGGGGGCTTTGCCTCTACTACAGAGAGTATGTTCAGCCAGCTGGCCTCATCAACAGAGTATATTTCAGATATAAATGGTGTGCACCACTTGCTTTCCTACACCAACAAAGTGATACGATATCTTTTTGTATCACTTGTATTGGAAACTTTATTTTAATATTTAGGTATATTCAGAGATAATATTATTATTTAGTAGTTAGACTGAACCTGTAGTAGACTGATTATGTAAATGAGAATCCATTTCAAAATAAATTGACGTTACACACTGTATAAAAGATGGAATGTAGATTTATTGAGATAAAAATTATTTTCTTTCATATTTGCAAATCTTATTATTTTGAAATAAGAGATTTTATAGCTATATAAGGCTACTAAACCCACAGCTTCAGTATTTCCCTTTTGTGTGATATACTCCATGGCAATCCCACTGGCAGAGGGCCATATGAGTAAGTGACTTGAGGAGACTGATTATGCAAACTAGAGGCCATTTCAGTAACTAAGATTATGATAGTATTTGTAAAAGAAAAAATGAAGTATAGCTGGGGAAGGAAAATTGGATTTTCTTTGCTTTGGGGAGAGAGAGAGAGAGAGAGAGAGAGAGAGAGAGAGAGAGAGAGAGAGAGAGAGAGAGAGAGAGAGAGAGAGAGAGAGAGAGAGAGAGAGAGAGAGAGAGAGAGCAGCAGCAGCAGCAGCAGCAGCAACAGCAATGGTAATGGTAAAAGTAATTATAGTAATAATAGTAGTAGTAGTAATATTAGTAATAGTAATAGTAGTAATAGTAATAGTAGTAATAGAAATAGTAATAATAGTAATAATAATAATCATAATCATAATAATAATAATAATGTTGATAAAGATGATAATAATGATGATAATGATGATGATGATGATGATGATGATGATGTTGATAATGATAATGATAAAGATAATAAAGATAATAACAATATTAATAATATCAATAAATGTACATTTACTGTGGATAGTAATCAGGATTTGAATGAAAAAATGTATGGAATGGTTACCTTGACGTAAACTGACACTTTTCATCTATGGCAAAAGGTGCGCAAATTGAACATAAAGGAGGTGCAGGATGAGATAGAGCATCATATATAATTTCATGTATCATAGCAGTGTAACAAGAATGAGCCATGTAGCCCTGACCAAGGCAACCATGACAGGAATAGCCCAAGAACCTGAGCCACCACTCAGTCAGTCACGAGGTGAATTACTGAACGACATGGGAGGCAATGGGACAAGTGTAAACTTTGAAATATGGCAAAAAAAAAAACAAGACAGACAAAATTGCTGGACTGACTTTTAACAGCCATTGCAATATCTAGAATAAACTTGGAATAAAAGTGTTTACAGGTTTATGGTAAAAATAGTTTTTGATTCTTTCTTCAACATTCAAAAAATCGTTGGAAAAAGTCCTTCCTACACAGTTTTCCAAAGATTCTTCTGCGCTTACATTATAAAGCATTGATCAGGAACTGTGGCAGATTAAAACATTTTCAAAATATAAACCTCTTCTACAAAAATAACCTCCTCAAAAATTTAAAATCATGAAATCCTTCCAGGCTTAAACACGTACTAAACAGCATCCACTTACCTCTGTGGTAAAGAGAGCCTCGAGCTTCATCCTAGCGACTTATAGAACTTGCACAATCCACGGAGAAAAAGGTAGTTCACGAGAAAATTCAAATCCAATCATGCATTCGAAATCTGGTCAGTCCTGCACGCCGGCCATTGCGATGTCGTACGAGGGGGGAAAGTTGTTGTACGGTACTGTGCGATTTCTAATTCATTTTGGGGTCTTTTGTACTAATCATTAGTCTGATTTTTCTAAGCTGATGTAACAGGATGGTAGAAATGATGGTTAAAGGTTAGTTTGATGGCTATGAAGCTTCTCAGTATCAGAAACGTATTGGTAGCTTCTGTGGGAATTTGTACGCTAGTATTTCTGTTTAGAGTTGTGAGCCTATATTTGTTTCACGCATTTTTTTGTTATTGTAAGTGATGTCAGGACAGAAATGTTGGTAGAATATTCATCATAGGCGATTAAGAAGTTTATTAATGTCACAGGTATTTTTCATGATACCTCACTAATTTGATCTTAGGAAAAAGCGTTTGTTATATATTCCAAAAGAAAACAAGATTATATATCATTGATATATCCAACTGAATTTTTATTTTCCTTTTTTATATTGTATAACGATAGTGAATTATTCCTATCTTGAAAAAGTGTCGAGCATCAGGCATGTCGAGATTATCCTCACAAGCGGTATATGCATATCAAGAAGGCCTAAATAGCAACTATTAAATGCATTTTTATTCGAAAATATTTTGAAATATTACAATTGTAATAAAAATGTGCCTGAATCAATAAAAAAAATATATTAGTTATCTCCACCACCTTGTAAACAAACGCACGTGGGAAGAGGGGGTGATGGGGGGGGGGGTAAAGGAAGGGGTAACAGGAAGACAAACAAACAGGTTGCAATCAGATTCATAAATGATGCTAATTAATAGTAACATTAAGTTGTGCAAATGAACTAGATAACAAGAAAATTGAAAGTAACGTCCCTTTCTTCGGAAGGACATGTACGAACTATATTGCTTTCCTAAACTTAAAGAGGAATAAACTCATTTGAGTTGATTTGAACAGTCCTTGCAAAAAGTTTGAAGAAGAACAGGTACATCCGAGATTGCATCAAGAAAGAGAGTTCATTGCTTGGCAGTAGGAATGGAATAAAGTATAGTCTGCAGCTTTGAAAGCATAAAGATATCTTGAAAACGATGGATTGTTTCTTAGAAGACATTTCTTGGAAGTATCTTCGTATGTATCCTCTAAAAGACATAATGTGGAAGGTAAGATGGCATTTTTTCATATTTTCATTCTTTCCTTACAATGTATTTTAAGTCTTGGTGTAACTAAAATTGTTCTAAGATTAATAAAGGGTAAGATTACGATTGTTATATATTGAAAATTTATCATAAATTCATGGATGTAAAGGGACAAGAATGGTGCCAGGTGACACATCTGTGACAGTGCTTGAAGGTAGTCTGATATTTTGTCCCAAATTCATGTGTATCCACTAATTTTTACCCAGAATTTAGGGGTGTTCACATATTAGCTTTAACTCTTTCTTTTGAGTTTTATTCATTGCTATAAACCACAAAAAGAATCAATACTTTAGTTAGAGCATCATGAGTCAAATGATAATTGTTTTAATGTAGGAAGTACTGTAACAGATAGGACTTGGATGTATCATGCTAAGTTCAGGTAATTCTTTTTGGCTATCATTTTACTACTATTATTTGTTTTTACAGTGAAACTAGGGAACATTCAACAATGCATTTAAGGTTAGCACATTATGTACAGAAGAAAAGCTCCAAAATTTGTTATAAATTTACAGGCATGAATGTGTTTCAGGTGAAAGGTCAGATGCTGTTGAGAAAAATCAAAGAAGGGTTCTATTCTATAAAGGAAATTAATTGATCACTAGCTTTTATGGCTGGCTTCCTATACTGGATTGCAAGAAGTCTCAGGCTCAGTATGTTACAACCTAATTTACATAATGTTATTATCATTATATGATTAATGACTTCTTTATTTTACTGGTACGCAAGAGGGAATTGGTCTCTAATATCTAATTGTTTCTTTCATTTATTTTGTGTATAGTTTTGCTCACAGAAATTTGATAAAAGGGAATAACATTATCCCAAGGGCTAAGCTATGCTTTTAGAGAAACTTAATGTAATATATAGCTAACTACAGTAATTAATTGAAATAAAATCAGTAGAATAGATTGTCATAAATGAAAAGGTTCTTCCAGGTTACAGTTTGATCAGAATCACACTGTCATCACAAAGGCAGTTAATCTAATAATGTTTTTCTTTTTAAAGGATGTTAAGGACACTCTGATCAACCTTGAATACGATGAATCTGTCAACTTCCAAGAGAATTTCCTGTGCAACACTGTACAGCATCCAGTTGCAAAAAGATTTCCACCTACTACGAGTTATGCTCGGATGTTTCTCAAAAGTTTCATTGAGCAGGTAAGATAGATTTATTTTGTAACCTTCTTTATATCTGAATAGGAAAGTATATAATCCAAGTGTACTATTGCACAAATACACATAATGTGTCTGATTTATTCCTTTGCATTTATTGACCCAGAATAAATCTGTAAGTAGTTTTGCATATCTAACCATTTTGTTAGTAGAATCAAGCTACATTTCATACATCAGCTAAGTAGGGTACATTTTCTCTAGAAGTACTTAAGTATTTTGGACCAGTGTTGATATGAATACCTTAGAAATTATGAGCATAATAAAGGATGTGACAAATCCTGCCAGTGTTCACTTTTTTAGTTGTGTTTAAATGACTGGAAAACATAGCTATGACCCTGCTCTTCTGGTACACTTCTTGAACAGTCTTTTACACTCAAACTATCAATGGAATGCTATTTTTTTTTATTATACATTAAGGTAAATGTATAAGATTTTTTAGATTTGATTATTGTATCCCAACTTTAAGTTATAGAAGTTGATTTTGTCATTGGTGTGTATTAATACTTTGTGTGTTGTTATCAGATGTAAAAACTATTGTCATTTTAGATCCTACAAATATTGAAGGTTATTTTTTATTATTATTAAGTATTTAACAATGTTACAGATTGAAGGAAGTAACCAAGAAGTATGTGAAGATGTGTATTTAGTCTACACAGATCTCATTTCCCAGTGTGCATCATTATCAACAGATCTTTGTTATAGAACTTACAGACTGCAGCCAGACTGCATTCTGACAATTAAAGAAACACGTAAACTAATTACAGATGGGACTACTGGTTTGTATACTTGGGAGGTTAGTTATTAGACATTTTCTTTTCTTTTATGGATATCAGTGGAAAAAATAGTGATAGATATGAAATGACTTACGTAACAGAGCTCTTAGGAATGATTTTATTTAGGTATTATGAATGATATTTATGTGTGATAGTTATAGTTGATGATAGAAAAATATATATTTTTTGGAGAGTCTTTAGTAACTGAACATCTTTTTATCTGAATAGGCTGGTCACGTGTTAGCAGAATGGTGCTCAGAGAATAAACCTATGTTTCGTAATAAAAAAGTCCTGGAGCTGGGTTCAGGTTTAGGCCTAATGGGTTTGGCTGTTATAAAGGTTTGTGAACCAGCCTCATATATATTCACGGATCTGCCAGCAACTGTTTTGACAACCTTGGCAGAAAATGTAAAAATTAATCTTGAAAATGATTCAAGCTATGAATTTTCTTCCGACTGTGATTGGGTAAGTACATAAAAGTAATATATTAGGTATATGGCTAATGAATATGTGGTATTATATTAATAATAATCTATGCACAACATTTCATCAATTTATGAAAATATTGTATAATTTCAACAGACAAATGGCATGGAAACGTCATACAACCACACAAAAGTGAATGTTAGAAGACTAGACTGGGAACAGGACTCATGTGATATTACAACTGATATAATTTTGGCTGCAGGTATGGAATGATTTCCTAGACTTACAGTTTTGTCATGAATATAAACTCCCCGAAAAAAAATGTATTTGTTGAAAAGGGCACAGATGGGGGATGGGGAATTTCATATGGACCCTGATCTGCCCCCTCCCATATTTGAAGAAAAAAAGATAAGTAAAAGAAAAGGAAAAGAATCCACTATGCAGCAGAACTATTTAAAAAGGGGAATTTAGAGGAGTAACGCTATTATTAACCTAAAGACATGACCATCATGAAGTAGACCTTATATAGCATAGTAGCCACTCACTCTGCATTTCTCTTTTTTTTTTGCAGCTGGATAACTAAACAGTGTCAGGCGTACAATGTATAAGAGATGAGGACTGTTAACATGTCCTATTCCTCTTGTACAATACCCTGCTACTTTAGTTAAGGATATGAACAAATCAGACACTCATGTATATTTTAAAGAATTTTATTTAAAAGCATCAGAACTTATTGTCTGTGTTTGGATTTCTACCAAGCATCTTTCTCCTCTCTTTATGTGGTATAATGCAAGATTTTTCAAGGAGAGAGCTTGTAATGAGTCAGGCATTGAGCTTTCTAGGTTATGTACCAATCACTGCCTCCTCCTCCCTCTTCTTTCTTTTCTTCTTTTTCTTCTCTTTTTTTTTCTTCTTCTTCTTCTTCGTCTTCGTCTCTGTCTTCATTTTTGTTGTCTTTTTCCTCTTCTTCTTCTTCTTCTTCTTCTTCTTCTTCCACTAACAGCAGGGGCATTTGTGTTGCCTCGTCTATGTTCAAGCAAGCTAGCCTTACATTAGCCTTGCTAGCTAAGTGACATTAGTATTTTATCACTTTACATTGAATGTGGATATACGTGATAAGCTAAGAAAAGTGAAGCTATCTTATTGTCTTTCTCTAGCTTATTTAATGTAATGTGCTCTAATGAGGATGGGATGGTCATCTTCCCCTCATTTCATATCTCCTCTATCCCATGATAAAAAAAAGACATACAGTTCTTTTTGTATGTGTAAAATTAGTGACAGTTCTGATTTTTTTGGGTGTAAAATTTGCAACACACTAATTTCCTCTTCAGATGTTGTGTACAACCCTGGCATTGTAAGAAAAGAGATTCTGATTAAAAAAATTAGTGACAGTTCTGATTTTTATTTGGGCGTAAAATTTACGACACACTTATTTCCATTTCAGATGTAGTGTATGACCCTGCCATTGTAAAGTGCCTTGTTGGCACGTTAAAGACTGCTCTGAATAACAACCCAAGTGCTGTAGCTGTTGTCGCGTGCACATTACGGAATTCTGACACATTGGGATTCTTTAGGGACGTGTTAGGTATGTTTTTTTTCTTGTTATCTTTTGTGGTAGTTTCAAATGGTACCAGTAAAATAGGATTTACTTTAAAGTGTATTAGACCAATTTTAAAGTAGTATGCTGAAACTGGAAAAAGTGAATTAAGCTAAATTTAAATTAGTGTACACTGACTAGAAAACATATTTTAATGAAAAAATATCTGGAAAATATAACTTTCTTCCATTTGTTCTATTTATTCTTTGTCTTTTTCAGTAGAATAAAGTTATACTGTATATATATATATATATATATATATATATATATATATATATATATATATATATGTCTGTATGTCTGTATGTATGTATGTATATATCTATATATCTATATATTCATATATTCATATATTCATTTATTCATATATTTATTCACATTTATATATATATATATATATATATATATATATATATATATTATATATATATATATATATATATTATATATATATATATATATATATATATGTATATATATATATATAATATATATATATAGATATAGATATATATAAATAGATATAGATATAGATATAGATATAGATATAAATATAAATATATAAATATATATATTTATATGTTATATGTGAGCTATATATGTATATATAGCTCACATTTGATTTGTGAATTGATTCACACATTATGTCTAGAGCTTTTAAACAGTTTAACCCAATCATGCCAAGATGATGTTCTCTGTCATGTTATGTTAGACCACCTGTCTACATATTACATGCACCATGTTTGATATGGCAGTTAGGGCTCCCATCATGATTAGGTCAAAGACCAGTCTGCTTTTCTGTTGTTATGATGGTTTTTTAAATGTTATTTTTTTCACAGCTGGAGAGAAGGTGAAGATATCATGGGAAACACAGCGACTATACCAAGAGTCTCCATCGCGGCCACAATCCACAGTTAGTCTTCTTCAGTTATCTTTATAAATAAGTTCAATTACATGACCAAAGTTTGTCCAGGTTTCTTATGTGCACATAAAAGGAAAGGAAAATTAAAATGTTAATTTGTATTAGGCATTCTTTATTTACCCCTCACAGTACAACACTGCTAAAAAGTTTCACTGATTACTACTGTACAGTATTTCTTACAAACATTTAATTAGTCAGTATTGTTATGTATGTTGGAAAACACACACAAAACCATCCATGAAGAGGTAACATTATTGTGAAGAATATTGTCAAAGTCATCTGTGCTTCATTCAAAGTCAACGTTTTTAGGACATTTCACAGCATGTGTTTACCATGGCAAAGGGAAACAAGCACAATGAGTATAACGGGTTAGTTATAATGAACAGCATTTTTATTTGCACCTTAGAAGAAAAAAAAATGTATTGCGAAGGCAGATTCATGCCCAACCTTGCTGGCTTATTTAAGGTATTATGTGATTCATTATTCACAAATGCAGATGTTATTTTAAATTATACAATAGTATGTTTTTTTTTGTCTTGGTGGCAAATTCGAGGCTTAGATGTCCACAGCATGGTATATCAAAACTCATTTTTAGATAAGGAACCACCAAGGAAACTTATGAAAATGTTATTGCTGAGGTAACATTGATATATATATATTAAGGCAAAATCTGCCTTTTGTTGTGACATATACAGTGTGTTAAGAATACTGTAACAACCCAAGAAAGGAAAGATCAGAGGTAAACAATAATAATAATAAAAGTATGGTGGCCATTGTGCTTTACAAAAGATAAGACACATTCCTTTTGAACAGCCCTAATAAATTTTGGAGGTAGCTCATAAATATATCAAAAGAATTTACAGGGAAAATTAGTTTTAGAACAGTTGTTTTTTAGTACACTGATTACAGACCAGGTAAAAAAAAGTGTTTCAAATAAGCCTATCTTCACAGTGGATAAATAACATGAATATCAACAAATGAATGATATATGAATGGGTGTGTATATGAATATGAATAGGTGATGGACATACTGCGGTAACCATATTGATGTAAAATATATAATATACTTTGAGAAAATATAAAGATGGAAGGGTACATTACACCACTTCTTCCCTAAATTAATCAAAATATACAAACTGATATACATGACTAGCTGGTGTTTTATATTGCAAACATTCACTTATACACATGAATTACATACAGACACATTTATGCATGCAAAAACTTGTTCATGATCTCACACGTACACACACACACACACACATGCACTGCATGCACATGCACACGTACACACACACACACATGCACACGCACACACAGGCACATCATGCAAAAACCACTCACACCACACACACAACACATGCCTACCACACAGACACACCACGCAACCCACCCACCCACCCACCCCACCCACCCACCCACCCACCACCCACCCACCCACCACCCACCCACCCACCCACCCACCCACCCACCCCACCCACCCACCCACCACCACCCCACCACCACCCACACCACCCACCCACCCACCCACACCCACCCACACACCACCCACCCACACCACACCACCCACACCACAACACACACACACACACACACACACACACACACACACACACACACACACACACACACACACACACACACACTTTTTCTCACTTTCACTCTCTCTCTCTCTCTCTCTCTCTCTCTCTCTCTCTCTCTCTCTCTCTCCTCTCTCTCTCTCTCTCTCTCTCTCTCTCTCTCTCTCTCTCTCTCATTTAGCTTCCAATTTACAAATTAAAGTTATATAAAAATCATTGTGAACCAAATAAGAATATTGACTTTATTGCAGAATTACTTCTACTGAAGAGAAGAAAGATAAACATATGAATACTATTTTGATTTAGATTATTTGAAAAAATATTCACATCACTTTTACAGAGTACAATAATACTCATGGCTGTTAATAAAGAATTTTGGATCAGTTATATTTACTGTATATGCCAAATACTGTTGGATCTGACAGATCTTCACAGAATATGCTACAGTTTATATACAGATTAATATATATATATGTGTGTGTGTGTGTGTGTGTGTGTGTGTGTGTGTGTGTGTGTGTGTGTGTGTGTGTGTGTGTGTGTGTGTGTGTGTGTGTGTGTGTGTGTGTGTGTGTGTGTAAATATGTAAATGAAACTCACATTATATGCTGCATTTCTTTAAAGAATCCTGTGAAGAAGGCTAAGTAAACATTATACACAAAACTTAAATTAGTTGCTGGTGCTATCACTGTGCATCTAGTCACAAGGGTATTGTGCATATGAAGAGTGCTTACATCTGGGTGAATATTCACCTGACTGTTTATCATGAAGAGGTTAGAGACAATACTAAAATGGAGAGAAATCAGAATGATAAGCAAAATAGAAATCTTTTATAGATGTAAAATGAATATTTTTGTTTTTAAATATTTACAGAAATACATATTAAATGATTAGATACAGTTGTATTTGTTTATATTAACCTCATACAAGGTTATAGGACACCATATTTAAGTATCAGCGTAACTGGAGAGATCCATCAAAAGAGATTGTCAAAAGAAGTGTTTGTAGACAGCAAGAAGAGTTAAAACAATCAAGCCAATGAGAATACTAACAGTAATAACAAACATGTATTAAGTAAGTTACTGAGATCTAGGGACTTGTAGCTCTTCCTATGACTCCTGCAGTTTTACTGTGATTCCAGCTTGATACTAACAGATTTCTTGATTAATATTTTATAGATAAGAACAATGTATTTAAAGTGATAGTTACATTGATTTCTAACATGCAGCTCTTTGTCAAGCAGAGCCCAAGCCACATTTATCAGTCTTATGACAAAGCAGACTCTGTTCCAAGGAAAAGCCTGAGAGTCCATCTTAAACTTATCCTTTAATACAAAGTCAGTCTACATGGTAAGCAGGAACAGATGGTTGGGTAGGGATAGGAATGGGTGGGAGAGGTTTCATACATAACAGAAAACCACCATGTGTTCTAACATTCACTCAGCTTTTTTGGCCCCCTGTGGACTAGCATCATGACCTGGTGTTTGTTGCTCATAATTGAGAGTTTCTCGTAATTCATAGGAATGTTATGATCAGTCTTTTAATTGGTGACAAATACTAGCTCAATATCTGCAGAGAGATCTTTGAAAAAGGTAAGAGATAACAAGATGGCAGAGAACAGTGATCTGTGTATTCAGAAAGTTGTGTGCACTTTATATCCATCCATTAATACAGTGTTAGCATTTTTTTCAGTAGAAAGACTGAAAAATGCACATCAAATAAAACTGTCTTGAGCAGAGAAAACATGCATAAATGATTTAGACCACCAAAATGTGCATTACCATGCATCTTGCCACCATTAACATGTTTTGTTATATATACTGCACATATATTACTTTCTGTACATGCTTTGAACTCCAGTACTTTCCATAACATGTGAGTAATATTTTTTTCTTGGTGTTCTTTGTAAATAACCAATGACTGAAAAGTGAATTTGACATTCTTTACAGAGGATTCCTTCCTTTTCATTTCTTTCAAAGAGAACTTTTAGCTGAGAAAGACTATTTAGGATATGTATATATATTAGATTATAAATTAGTCAGAAGGTTATAATAAAATGGCACAATATTTACAAAAAATAGATTACAGTCATTAATATTATGTAAATAAATTAGTAAAAATAAACTTTCGGAAACAAAACTTCTAAAACAAAACTTAATACAAACTTTGTCTAGAAAAGTGCTGAAAAAATAGATGAAGTGACCCCATACCCACCCCCCACCCCACAAGAAAAAGAAAGAAAAATGCTGCCCTAACTTTTTTCTGGGAATCCTTGTAAAGGCGTATTGGAGTGATTGAATATCTTACAAAAGGACTTCTGAAAATCAACAATTGCACTGCAATAAGTCCCTATTGCTATTGTCTAAGTCTTTTAATGACATAAAAATATTGTCAGGATCTGAGCATTTATGTAGTAAGACTATTGTTAAGTTATAAGGAAAATATATGTTGTAATTGTCTAGATTACCAATAAGACTAATAATGAAGAATGAGCAATGGTTATTGACTATAAATTGTCAATAAAAGACATTATATTCCTAATAAAAAGAAAAAAAATCACGTTCATATAATAATTATGCAAACATGGTTGCAAATATCATTTCAACATAAATTTTAAGCCCACAATTTTTCAGGATTTTCTGTCATCCTTATAGAAAGATAAGTTAAAGAAAGCCATGAATATGTACTCATATAGATATATATAATTATAATCTTGCATCAAATTTTCCGGTTCAGTCTTAGCAATAACTTATGGAATTTACACTCTACTATATCTCATCCGAAACTGTCAGTGTAAGTCAGTCAGCAATAAAAAGACAAAATCAGTGCCTTGTTTATCACGCAGAATTCCTACGGCACTAGAATTGATATAGAAAACAACTCTCCATTGTTGCTAATCAAAAAAGAAAAGAAAAAAAAGTAACAGTGCAGCTAACACTAATTATTATCTTTTAAACTATATCTATTCACTCGTGATAATAAATAATGGCAATTATCTCTTAACCTACCCTGTCATTCACACGCAATTCCTTTTACAAATAAACGCTATCTAACTACCAATCTCATATTATTTTCAAGACTAGATAAAATTGATCACAAATAACTTGCCATGTTTTTAACCTTCGTATGGTTATTCTAACATTTTAATCTTCGCTATCAGGCTAAAAAAAAACCTTGCGGATGGATTTATGTTATCACACAGTTCAAGACTTATAACTTTTTTGAGCCACTGGACGGAATCAAATCAGTCTCCACGGATGTTATGGATGGAATTTGATCCTTTTATGAAACAAGTGGATGGAGAAAACTGGAGGGATTCTCGTTTACTTTTTCATGTTCTGTTTATGTGTATGTGTATGTGTGTATATACATACATGCATAAGTATACATACATGTATACATACATACATACATACCTATATGTAAATATATACATACATATATATATATATATATATATATATATATATATATATATATATATATATATATATTGTACACTAATAATCGAATCGAATTGGAATT